GTTACCCGGACGACGAGCTTCGGCGGAGGCACGCGACGCTCGCCCATGTGGTTTTGGCGAGACCGACCTCGGTGGTGGTATCCCAAGGTCGACATGGCTGATCAGGTGCAGTCTTCAGCACGAGGTCGATTTGGTGTATGCGCTGTGCAGGTGACAAGGCACGGCACGCCAATCATCTGCGAGCACCTGCGAAGTACGGTTTAGGGTTTAGGGTTTAGGGAGCAACGTTGGCACGCCGTCGACTTGCCGCGTTGGCGGGCCGCGATTGTGCAGTGCTGGATTGCGGTCGACCATGCCATGCTGGACCGCGGTCGACCGTGCTGCTCTGGCATTCGACCGACCTGCATGCTAGCTCTGATGTAGTCAGTCTTGCCAACTTTGTAACTATAATTCTGAATCATTGTTGTCATATTTTCCTAGTGAAACTCTTGCAAAATCTCCCCTTGAATTAGCAAAGAGTGTGTGCACAAGGAAACGACCAAGTGAACGAACATAGAGATCACTCCCACCCTGTGCTTAGCCAGTGGTCTAGCTCGCGTTGAATTAGTTTTCTCCGCACCTTATTCATATGGTTGGTACCAAGGATAAGTGCGTTACGTATCCCTATCGTTGGTATCAAGAGTAAGTGAATTACGTATCCATTTGGTTGGTACCAAGAGTAAGTCCGCTACTTATCCATATGGTTGCTATTAAAAGAATGTGCGATACTTACCTATATGGTTGGTATTAACAGTAGTTACTATCCCATATGGTTTATTTATAGATTAGTGCGTCTTATGGTTGGCACCAAGAGTAAGTGCGTTACTTACCCATATGGTTGAGACTATGAGTAAGTGCTCACCCATATGGTTGGTACTAAGAATAAGTGCGGTATTTTAACCATATGGTTGGTACAAAGAGTAAATCGTTACTCAATCATATGGTTGATACCAAGAGTAAGTATGATACTTATCCCTATATTTAGCACTAAAGAGATGCGTTACTTATCCGTTTGGTTAGTACTAAGTGTAAATGTGTACTTACGTATATAGTTAGTACCAAGAGTAGATGCGTTACTCATCCGTATGATTAGTGTCAAGAATAAGTGTGTATTTACCTATACGGATGGTACCAAAAGTAAGTAAAGTATTTACCCATGTGGTTGGTTGCAAGAGTAAATGCAATTTTTTATCCTTATGATTTGTACTAGAATGAGGTGCGTTACTTACCCATATGGTTGGTACCACGAGTAAGTGCATTACCCACCATATGGTTGGTACCAACAAGAAGTAGGTTACATTTTTATATGGTTGGTACCAAGAATATTTGAGTTTTTTACCCCATATAGTAGGTACCATGTCAGACTTATATGATCTAGCCTGTATAGGCTGTAGCGGGTTAGATACTAAGGGGTACACAATTCTAGGGTTTCATATTTGTATCACACTCATTCCTTAGTCAATCATTCCTCGTAAGTTTTCACATACCAATAGTGATTGTTTTACTTATCCTGATTGTTGGTACAAACTGAAAGTACGTTAATTATCTATAAGGCTGGTACCAAGAGTATGTGTGTTATTTATCCTTATGGTTGGTACTTAGGGTTAGTGCGTTACTTATGCATGTAACCAGGAGTAAGAGCGTACTTCCCATTTTTTTTGTATTATAAATAAGTGCATTACGTACTGTTATGATTGGTACTAAGAGGAATTGTATGATTTATCCAAATTGTTGTTACAGAGTAAGTACGTTAGTTACCTATAGGTTTGTACCATGAGAAAGTGTGTTACTATGATTAAGTGCATTAGTTACTCATATGGTTGATATTAAAAGTACGTGGGTTACTAACTATTATGATAATAATGATGAAACTTACCCATTGTTTTGTGGTATATATATGTGCGTTCCTTACTGTTATGATTGGTACTAAGAGTAGGAATAATTAATTAATATGGTTGGTACTGTGAGTAAGTATATTACTTACCCATACGGTTGGTACAAATAAAAATTGTTATATTTATATGCTTGGTACTATGAGTAGCTTCGTAACTTACTCTTATGGTTGGTACTAACCCACGCATGGACTAGACAACGGGCGAGTGTACCGTGCGAGTCAACAGTAATTACATCGCTTTACTCCGCAAGACTTTGCCCAAATCTTCATTGATTCGTCTCAACGCAATCACGATGAGACGCGCTGTAGTGGCATGAGCTGACGCTTATGCGGTTGACATTCAAGAAGCCGAGGAAGAAGACAAACTGAGCGATTTACACTAACAGTTCGCCAACGTACAGGATGACTTGGCAGCATCACTGAAACAGTACAGCGGGATTTTTCCGAACGACCTACCGGAAGGACTGACACATTTGCGACTACACAACTATAGGATAGAGTTAGAACCGGGAACGACAGATCTGACTGACCCAACCCGAACTAGACAAACTGCGGAAGCAGTTGGATTGCTTGCTCGAGAAGAAATTCATACGTCTGAGTTCGTACGAAAAATTACAAGGAATATCGCATGTGCATAAATTATCACGCACTCAACTACGTGAGTCGCTTCGTCCCCGACATAGCGAATCTGGCTGCCCCGCTGATCGACATGCGGCCACCAACAGCTCCTTCGGCATCGCGGTGCTGCTGCTGGCGGTGAGCATCACCCAGCAAGTCACTCCATCGTCACCGACCTTGAGATAGAATGCCTCATCGACTTGGCCCTTCTTCCAGTGGCGCCAAGCAGCATGCTATCAAGAGCCCTGTACTACAACAGCGGCGACTGCTTCAGTCCGTGGAGACTTTTCAGCAGCTTGCACACCCGGCCGGTCCCGTCGTTCTAGTAGTCCAGCTGGTACATGTAGAGCACCCGGTAGAGCTTGCTCTGAATAAGGGCATTTTTCTTGTCGAGCTGCATCAGGTTGAGGTCGATGATGGCGACAATGCTGAGGAAAATTCTCAGCGTGTCGTAGTTCCCAACTGATGCTTACGTACCGTCGTAGTCTGCACTGTACACGTGCGTGAAGCCCTTCACGCCCAACCTCGCCTTCTCGCGCTCGGCGGTGTCGTCAATGTGGTACTTTGTCATCAGCACCCACCGGTTCTTTATGATGTTCACCCCGGGCGGCCGATCGACCAGCTCCCACGTGCTGTTGGCGATTAGGCTACGGATCTCCTCGTCTATGGCAGCCTTTTCTGCCTTACCCTTCCAGCTTGCCAATGCCTCCTGCACCGTCATTCTCGCGATGTCCCAGCGGTGTTCGGGGTCGCCGTTCATGTCGGGGTCGAGCTTTGGCAGGTCGATGTCGGCATCCCCATCATCGAGCAGCGTGGTGAAGGCGGCCGCTGGCAGGCACACGTGGTAGGTTAGTCGCTCAGGCGGCCTTCGAAGTCGACCTGAATGACGTGGTCCAGGCTGGACCTCTACCACATTGCTGTCGGTGGACTCCTCGCCCGCCGACTGCTCCCCTGCGTCATCGTCGACTTCGCTGTTCTCACTCCTGCACCAAAGTTAGCTGCTCGGCCGACTTCTCCCTTGTCGTCGGCTACCCTACCGACCGTCCAGATGTCGACGGCTCCCCTGTCGGCTGCACTGCTGCCTCCTCCCCTATCAGTGGCTTCCCTGCCGACGCCCCCTTTGCCGACGTCTCCCTTGTCGGCGGCTTTTTGACTGCCCGCTGCTCTCCTGTCGTTGGCGGCTTCCACTGTACACCGACTTGTTGGACGTCACATCGGCCGCCGGCGATGCTCTTGGCCGGCGCCACATGCGATGACCCACTGCTCCACTTTTTTTTTTTTTATGGAAAGATATGCTAAAAGTGCACAATACATCGGCAGTCGTAACTGTAGCTGATCGGCCTAGGGGGTTAGCACCCACCGTACCCATCCTAATCCTCTACGGGGGACGGAAACCTGCCCTCGGGTTCGACCAGATGGCCATGAAACCTTTGGACCACGTGGCCAGCTGAGCTGTGCTGTCGAAGATATGACTCAAAACCCGGCACTCATCATTATCCAACCCAGGACGAGTGGCACCGAGCCTCTTGGTCACCTCTTTGGCACGTTTGTAAATCCTGACATGCAGCTGGAAAGACGCCGCGATCCTCCGCAGCGCCCTCCGCGCCCGAAACTTGCTGCGCTCAAAATCCGCGTCACACCTTTCAACCCAAATCCGGTGGAGCGCAATTGCCGTGATCGTAGCTTCGGGAAACCCCGAATCTGTCCCTTCTTCTTGAAAACCAGGTCCCCCAGTGATTCGATCTTCCGATGCAGGTTCAGCATTCGGAGCGCCTTCAGAAGTGCCCGAATTACTGGCTGAATGCGTGGGCAAAAGAACAGCCCATGTTCCAGCGTCTCCTTCTCCCCGCAATGGGGGCATGCAACCCCAGCCCCAAGGAAATGCAGCCGCTCCCCCACCTGCAGGTTACGACTGTGTTTCCGGAGCATCACGTCCCGCGCTCGGTTCGGAAGAGCCGTCGAATCTCTAACGCCAATTACCCTCTTCCAGTCGATCGAACGGCCGAGAGACTCCTCCCAGGTGGTCTGCTGCTTCGGCTTCCCGCCGTCGCGTTTGAAACCTTCCTTTAGCCGCCTCATCTGCGCTGGACGGTCCCCCTCCCAGATGGGCGAACACAGCAATCTCGCATTGGGGGCGCCCGCAGGGCCAAGAAAGCGGCCCTCCCTGACCACCGCAGGTACCACCTCGTGCGGTAGGAAACTGCGCACCTTCTTCTCTGCGTCCCCCAAAACACCCCGAAAGCAGCTGACAGCGCGGCAAATTAGGGTCTCCCCTTCCACGCTCTCAATCCTCCGAACCCCATAGCACGTCCCCGCCTTCAGCACATACTTAGAACACGCGAGCACCGTACGCGCCGTGACAGGCGCCAGGAGCAACTGCTTCCATTCATCTGGGGCAGCGTAAAAAATCCTCTTCGCCAGCTTTGCTCCCGCCGAACTCCCGAACTCCCTCTCGAGCTCCTGGGCATCCTTCAGTGCTCTTGAACCATCCGCAGCGACCTTGACAAAATCACACATGACTGAGCGTTTTAAGAACCTTAGCCGCCTTCTGCCTCCCCGCAGGTGTCCTACTGTTCAAGAGCAGCCGCCGATTAAAGAGCAGTAACTCCTGCTCCACATCCCACACCGATGAGACGTTGATACATGATGGGAAACTGGACTCCAGGAACAGCTCACAAGTCCGTTTCCACCGCATACATCTTCCTTCCCATTGCTTTATCAATCCCGCGTGAGCCCAGAAGACTTGAAGGTCAAGGACGTCCAGAGCTGCCAGCGCAAGATCAGCACGCAGACCCAGCGGCTGCGACGCCAGCAGCGCAATTCTTCTTGCCGCCAGGCCCCCCAGCTCAGCACACGGGTCTCGGACCCCGAGGCCGCCCTCCCCTCTCGCCTTGAACATCAGCTCCTGACTCCAAAGCGCGAAATGCTTCCCCGCTGTTGAGTGATTCCCCGTGACAAAGTTGTGAAGCATCTTCACCAGTGTCGCCCAGATTTCGGATGGAGGCGGGTAGACCTGCGCCTGGAAAGCGAGAATCGGGTTGATGTAGCCGTTGACCACAGCGACCCTCCCGGACGTAGTTAAATACTGGATCTGCCACTTCACCAGCTCCGCCGTTGCGCGCACCTGGGTGATTTCCCAGGTCACCGACGCGTCCCCCGAAGGTGAGATCCACACCCCCAAGACCCTTTCCGCTTCATTCGGCCGCACCCATTTAAACACTGACGACTTGTCGGGCTTTCTGCGCAGGTTCCTTCCCAGGGGCAGCAGCGCGGACTTGTCGTTGTTCACCCAGAGTCCTGACTTCACCCCGAACTTGTCCATCAGCTTCACCGCCCGGCCGATTTGCCTTTTACCCTTGAGCACCAGCGTGGTATCATCTGCGTACCCCGGGTACGCTAGACGATCACCGTACGGATTGCTAATCCCCAGTTTCCGCCTTCTTGCTTCCTGGCAGAGAGGCTCTACTGCGCAGAGGAAAAGATAAGGCGCCAGCGGGCAACCCTGACGTACACCTTTCCTGACCGCCACTGGATCCCCCAGCCAGCCGTTGAGCAACAGTCTCGTCATCGATCCCGCGTGGAGGCCCACACACCACTGCACGAACTTCTGGGGGAAGCCCATCCTCTCCATCGTGCCAAAGAGGTACTCGCGCGAGACGGAGTCGAAAGCCTTCTGGAAATCCACGAGCAGAAGGTACCAGTCCTCGTCTTTACACTTCGTCGCCTCAACAACATCCGCGATCAACGAAACCCCATCCGACAGCCTTCTTCCAGGTAAGAAACCGTATTGCTCCTCCGAAATGACCTTGTGCAGCACTTTACGCATTCTGTTTGCCAGCACCCGCGCCACTAACGTGTATGTGCTATTGAGCAGCGTGATCGGGCGGTAATTGTGCACCTGGTCCTTCACGCCATTCTTGTGCAATAGGACAGTAACCGCCTCCAGGGCAGCGGGAGGAAGGACCGCCGACTTCTCGAACTGCTTTACGAAGCCACAGGTCACTGCCCAGTGAGTCCCAGTGCAAATTGAAAATCTCTTTCGGTATACCGTCAGCACCGGGATACTTGCCCTTCGCCATGCCGTCCAGGGCCTCTTTTACCTCCGCCTCTGACCATTCCGCTACCAGCAGCTGAATTTGCGCTTCCCCCAGCCTTTTATCAGGAGCTATCGGCCAATGTGAGTTGTGCGCAGCAAGAGCCGGTTCCGAGAACAGCTCCGCTTAGAACTCGGATGCAGCCTCTAGTATCCCCTTCGAGTTCTTCCGTACCTCTCCCTTCCATTGCAGCGATGTGATTAATGTCCTCTCCTTCCTTGTTTTGACTTTCGCAGACATGAGCTTGCCAGGCATTTCCCCCTCCCGCAGCTCCCTGACTCCGGCCATGAGAGACAACCTCTCCTGCTCCGATGCGAGATATGCCGCCAGTTGCGACTCCTTGATCCCCAACTCCTCTTTCAGGGTGGAACAATAAGGATTCCACATCACTTCCTGCTGCAGCACCGCCACCGCTGTATCCAGGTGAAGAAGGGTAGCCTTGACCCGCTTCTGTTCCTCCTTGGAATACCTTCGCAACGCCATATTCACTTTCCGCATGAGAGCGGTGAAATCGCCTGACCCCCCCTTTTCGTGCTCTTCCCGGACCGCAGCCACCGCCTTCGCCGCACCCGGCTTCCCAATCTCTGCTGCTTTGCACCTCCATATCCCGGGCCCCATGCAAAGCTGCAGGTTGACCTTGAAAGACACTTTCACGCCAAACCAATGGTCCGAGAGGCCCTTCAGCGGGCGACAGTGCGACACATCCGAGAGCACCGGCAACAGCGGCGCAGAGATAAGGGCCCGGTCAATGCGTGAGCTGGTCTTGGCACACCTGGATAAAAAGGTAAACTCCTTCAGCACCGGGTTAAACCAGCGGAAAGCGTCAGTAAGGCAATGAGCAGATCCGCAGCACGCTGTCATTTTCCCCCGACGAGCCCGCCGCAGGTCCTCCACCATGTTAAGGTCTCCTATCAATATAAAGTTCTGCTTCCCCACAGAATGCATTATGAAGGGAGCGAGCACACCAGCGTAAAACGGCCGACGCCTGCAGGCCTTCGCCGGGAAATAAGCAGCCAGGATCGTGCAGCAGAAAGAATCCCACTGGACATCAGCCTGAAGCAACCGGCCTGAGCAGTGCGTGATAATGTTAGTAAAAACGAGAGACTTGTTAAAACTGATAATAGCCACTCCCCCTGCCTTCCCCGCAGGACCGATCGCGTGACAGTGCGGGACTTTGAGATTCTTCCAGAAATCGTGGTCAGCACCAATACGCGTATCAACCAGAACGAAGATGTCAGGTGGTTTCTTAATCCATGCCTTCAAGTGCTTCTGTTTCCCCCTGCTGCCGAGCCCGTTGACATTGAGCTCGCAAATCGTCAGGAAGGAGGCCTTATTCATTGGGAAACCACCAAGAAGCCCCAAGCATCCACGTGCTGAGTGAGACACGGACAACAGTTTCATAGACAACAAGTACAGACACGAAGAATCCCCTAAGGTCAGGTAAGCCACTACGTAACGCCACCTCTCTTCCACTACTGCAGATGCTTACACCTTCTTGCTCTCTACCGGAACCCTTGCATCTCTGCTGTTGCGTGACATTGAAGCCGCCATGCCTTACTTTGCCGGCTTTGTGACATACTCCTTAAATGCGATCATCTTTTGAGAAAACTTGCTGGCACGCGTCGCAGCCCCCTCCGATCGCAACCCCCCCTTGTGACGTGTAGATGCGATTTGAGCAGACGCCTGCTCGAATCAATTCCCTTGCGCCTTCTCGCATGCCGTCTGGACACATATCCACTCCTCCCGCGCACCTCCAGTAGAGGTAAGAATAACAGCAGGGTCCTTCATGATCCGCTTCATGAGATCTGAAGCTTTCAGGGATGCAGCTGCGGGGGGAGGAGAGCAGATAACCGTCAGTATAAAGAAAGACTTGGGAGGTAAGCAGTAAAGGATACACCAGCAGCTGGAAAGAAGCTCCTCCGCTTATACCGTTCATCGCGTGAACCTTTTTGACGGAAAGGTTCCAGTTTGTGAAGTTCTCCTGCCTCAGGGCGACGTAATGGTCATGGTACCGCGTCAAATGCTGGCCACCGCAGAAGTCACAGGCCAGTGACGGGAAGTGGAGCAGATACCGCTTCCCCGTAGACGGGTCCTCCACGAAAAACCTCCAGCGATACTCATCGTCAGCATGAGAGGTGACCAGCCCGCGAATTCGGTCAGTATCCAGTCCAGTTACAGGGTCAACCGTCCGATGGAAGCCGAAACCACTGGCAAATGCACTCTTGCCACGCTTGACCAACTTCGACACCACCAGCAGACGGCGAATCAGCTCCGCCGTAATCTCGGCAGGTACGCCCTTAACCACCACCTCCTTAGCCGTGGGGTTCAGCACACGCTCGCGCAGGAACCGCGCGTCCACCGGATGCTGCCAGGTGAGGTCAATGTAGTCTCTGTTCACGCACTCATGGCGGATGACCTGGTTCCAAACGAAGTTCGCGTCCCGAACATGGTTGAAAGTAACCTGAAGACGTCCGAAGCGCGCGCCAAAGAAGTATTTTGCCGTAAGCTCCTGGTAAGTCGTCGTCAGAAGCACATCCGATGTTAAACTTTCCTTCCAGTCCTCCAGCAGTGCAGCGACCGTTACTGCAGCACGCGTAACCTCAACCTTCCTGAGAATCGGCACCAGTAAGGTAAGTGAGAAACTCTTCAGAGCAATGACACAGTTTAACGAATCCGGCTCCAAATGCTCATCAGAGTCATCACTCAGGTAACCATCGTCCTCATCATCAGGAATATCATGCGGCTGCGCGTCCTCTTCACCACACGCATTGTCGCCAGCGTCAGCCTCCTCGCGCGTTCCTTCTTCACCAGCGGTCTCCTTCGCCACATCAGGCTCCTTTCCGCCAGCGCCAGCATCCTCATCAACGTCGTTTTGCGGGTCCAGTAGAGCCTCAAAGGGACCGAGCACAGCAGCCGAAGCGGAACTTGAAGGCGACCTCCCAGATACAGCAGGACTTAACACAGATGCGTCAGGTACGTCAATCCCATCCTTAGCCTGAGCATTGTCAGCAGTCTTCTTGCCGCTCTTGTTGTTGCGTCCCTTCCCCATGGTGCAATGATGAGAAGAGCTTGACAGCCCAACAATGGCTGATAAGCAAGCGAATGTGAGCACAGCCACAGAAGCACCCCGATTTTTATATCTCTGATGCTTGGAAACGAAACTCTGCAGGTCCAGGCCGGATGAAACCGAGGTCTCCATAGATGTTGACATCCAGCCAGGCCTCCATTGAGAAAAGCTGCAACCTTCCTTGAAACTGACGCGAGAATAAAGCAGCGTAGGGAACTGATCCCGAAGTGGGTGAGCCGTGAGCCTTGAACTTGCAAAACAGCCATGTGATAACTCTTGATTAAAAGACAAGTGTACCAATGCCAGTAGCCTGGAACTCAAACAAATGGTTCTTAGGTTCCCGTAATGAACACTATTTGGACACCATTGGATAGAGCTTAAAGCTGTGCATCTATTAAGTAGACTCAATCCTGATTTAGTCAAAAAATTGTAACACATTGAGCTGGTTAAAGCGTCTGGCCATGGCCATGGCGGCTGAAAGGCGGAGAGCTCCATGGTGAGCTCCATCATGGTGAGTACCATGTTGGTACTACACTATTGAAGTGGTCAGTGTCCCCACTGCTCCACTAATTGCCAGAGGCCAACGTCGGTGTTAGCTTATGCAGGTCGGCAACAAGGGGTGGGGCAGGAGGAGCAGGGGAGGGGGATGGAGGGAGGACGTCCTCAGCGTCCTCACCAGCGGTCTCTTGGCGAGCAAGGGAAGTGTTGCCATCGAGGTAACTATCGGCGGGTTGGCCTGCGTTTGCCCCGACGTCGGCCCGTGCTCCTACTTCCACACCTCCAATCACATGGTTTAGTGGAACACCACGTTCGATGTAGTGACCACCTTGTGGGCGGTGAGGTCGAGGACATCTCAGCCCTTGTTCTCCTCCGACACGCCAAGGTGAAGGCCCCACTTGGTCTTTTGTGCTAGCTTGCCACCGCGCTGCTGCTCGGGGACCAGGAACTGCACCATGCAACCCCGCATACGCGGCAGTGTCAAGTCAGGCTTCTTGCCAGTGAGCAGCTAGTACGGCGTTGTCCCCGGCAGCAGCATCGACCTCTCTAGGCAATTGCGCACCCAGACGGCCTGCCGCAGGGCGACGTGCCACCAGTGGTGCTGCACGCCTATATGCAGCATTATCGTCTGCACTGACTCGACCACCATCCTCATCTCCCTCTCCAGCATGCCATTCTTCTACGGAATGTATGGACAGGTGAGGTCGTGGATAATTCCCTTGTCGTCGACGAAGGCGGTGAAGCCTTTCTCGAGGAACTCCCCTCCCCGGTCAGAGCGAGGCGTCATCGCTGACTTCTTCATCTACCGCTCCACCAACAACAGCCACTTCTTGAACTCCCGTAGCACGTCGGACTTCTTGGTGACCGGCCTCACCCACTCGTAGCTACAGCAGCAAGAAGTAGAGGCTGCCATCCTTGGTGGCAACCCTGGGTGGCCCGCACAAGTCGATGTGCACGACGGCAAGGGCCTCATTGGCGTCCGAGCCCTTGTCGAGGAAGGTTTGCCGCGCTTGCTTCCCGCCAACACACAAAACATATGGAAAGTCGGTGCTGGCAGTCGGCTCGATGTCCAGGCCGGTGGCGACATTATGTTTCGCCGAGCTTATAATGGTGTCGACGCCGACATGTGCAATCCCTGCATGCCTCCTGGCTTGCGTTGACTTCGTCGCCGAGACGATCGTCCGCAGAGCCACCACCCTAGTCGGCGCCAACATGGGCTTCGTCGTGCAAGGGCGAAAGTCGGTGCAGAAGACCCGGTGTACTTCGCACGACCAACGACATCCCCCGCCGCCGAGACGAATAGCATCTCGTCGCTGTTAGCCTGCATCTTCACGCCGCTCTCCCGCAGTTGGCTGGCTGACAACAGGTTTGCATACACGCCTCAAACGTAGAGGATGTCGGGGACGAGCACCTGCTTTCCTGCCTCCCCCTGCAGAGAAATGGTGCCGCGGCCTTGGACGATCTGCAGCACCCCACACACATGCTTGACGTTGCCGCTTGGCCCCAAGTCGACGAAGGCCTCCTTGGTCCCGATCAGATGCTGGGAGCAGCCGCTGTCGAGCATAACCACCGCCGGGTTCGCCTGCACGACTACCGCAACCGCCTCTCACGACGCCTCCCCGTTGCCTCGCCCCTTGCCACCTGAGGAGGAGTCGGCATCCTTCGCCGACGTCGACTTGGTCGACTGCTTCTCCTTGCACGGCTTGCTCTGTCGACATGGGCGACGACCGGCCAACCTCCTGCAGCCTCCATTGGTGTCATTGTCGTCAAAGTCTTCACGGTCGGGACACTCGAAGGAAATGTGGTCAGGGTTGCTGCAAACCCAGCACTTACGCCGTCGACCACCGCTTCGTCGACCTCCATCTTTGGCCGACTTGGCCTTATCGGCTTCCTTCGCCAGCTTTCCACCGCGGCTACCACAGTGGCCGCGCTTCCCCAGTCGACTTTCATGCTTTGTCAGGGCAACGTAGTTCGCCTGCGGCAGGAGCTCTATGGATCTCTCGACTTCCTGCATTGCCTCGTACCAGATGAGGGTGTCCTTGTTGAGCGACTGCCGCATGTCGAGCATCACCATCATTTGCCGCATGAGGTTGTAGCTTTCGGCAGTCCCTTGACGACGTGCGTGATGTACGATGCTGTCGAATAAGTGATGGCAGTTCGGCATTGGTCACAGGCGGCATCTCCACGTCGCCGTTGGAGAAGCACATCAAGCCGGCCATCACTCGCCGGGGCTCGATGGACTCCTTCGACGTGAGGGAATCGTGAACACCGACCAGCGGCACGGGATCGGTAACCTTATCCGGCGTAAAATTGAAGTAGCCGTAGGTTGGCGCTATCCCGCCCGCCGTAGGTTGGCGCCATCCCACTCGCCGTCACGTGGGTCGCCGACGCTGGCGTCACACTGCTTCGACGTCGACCGACGTCGCTTTGCGAAGAGCCCGCAGCCGCCGATGACTGCAGCCCTCGCGCCTGATTTCCACCGAATTCACTGTCGGCGGCTTTCCGGATCACTCATTTTTTCCTCGACGTGCCTCCCTCACTGTTGCCGACTTTGTCACCACCGTCGACTCCCTCGTTGACACCGCCTTCGTTACGCACCAGTCGAGGAGAACCAGTTAGGAAGGGTGTTCCGCCGCCCACTTTGCACGGATGCCCAGCTCGACGACCTCCAAGGGGAGGGTCGGCCCGAACTTGCCAGCCTAGTAGGCTAAGCGTGTCTCTAGCGTATCCTCTGCCACCGCGGGCTCTCCCGTGGTAGGGGACATGGCTTGCACGTACTGTCGGCCTACGATTGAAAAATGTAAGGCGCACCTAACTCAGAGGGTAAGTTGCAAGCGTCAATGCTCACCGCACCATGCAGAGATAAAATCTATAACAGGAGCTGGACTACTGGGGAAGGCACGGTAGTGAGAGTGATCATAGCGTTCATTACCATTTGCTCGTGTTCTTTTTACGCACACATTCACAGGGAGAATCGGCAAGAGTTTCACTAGCAAAGGTTCACAACAATGGTTGCAAGAATGATGGCAAAGCTGATTACGTTAGATGCAAGTCTGTCCAGCACGCAAGCAGGTCAACCTCCAGCGTAGCATTGTCGATCGCGTTCCAGTGCTGAAAAGTCTGCACCGCTCCAGCGCTGCAGAAAGGCGGCTTGCCAACACTGCAAGTCAACGACATGCCAACCCTACAGCTAGGCGGTTGTCCAGCGTTGCACCCGCATGACAGCAGTGGATCCGCTTCGTAGGTGCTCGCAGTTGGTTGCGTGCTATGGCCCGTTATGCGCACAACGCCAAGTCGACCACGTGCCGTTGACTGCGTCTGATCAGCCACGTCGGCGTCGGGAAACTACCTCCGAGGTCGGCTTTGCCAAGACCACCTTGACGACCGTCACGCACCTCCGCAGAACTCCATTGACTGTTTAACTTGGTCGACCGGGGAACTACGCCAACGAAGTGCTACTCGTCGTGCCCGTCGACCACCCAAGTTGACGACCACCCCCTGTCGACTTTACAAAGTTGGCCACTCCCTCGGGTCGACCATGCAAGGTCGACCAGACCAGCTGTCCGCCGAATACACCAAGTCGGCTACCCCAGGTCGGCGTCACCAAGTCGACACCTTCCTCGGGCCGACTTTGCCATGTCGGCCTCCCTCTAAAATCGGCGCCCTCCCAAATTAATGCCCCACCTAGGCCGACTCTCCCCTCGTCGACCTCCGGGTTGAAGTCGGCCGCCGGCTTCTCTTCGTCGGCGGCTTCGCAGTGCCCCGTGCAGGTCAACCATGTTTGTCGACTTGCGTGCCTAAGTCAGCGTCGCCTACTGCAGATCGTCGGCTGTATCTCCCTCGCACCCCGCCACGAAGTCGGCTCCGCCCAAGCGAGGACGGAGCCAACTCCCAACTTCTGTTGACATCACCGACCCTCTCCACCCGTTCGAACTGGTCACTGACGAAAGCGACATTGCTATGGGAGTTCTGTTTCAGGATTTCAGAACCGGCCTTCAGCCAATTGCGTACAAGTTTCACAAGCTTCACCCACCCAAACTGAACTACCCGATACGCGACCGCGAGATGCTAGTGATCGTGCATGGGTTTAAAGTGTGGCGATGCTACCTCACAGGAACCAACGTGACAGTACGGATAGATCATCGCTTGCTACAGTACCTCATGCCCAACCAAAACTCAACCTGCAACAAATACGGTAGTTGGACTATCTTGAGTCCAATTTTTACTACACTGTCATGTACAAGAAGGGAGCATCAAACATTGCCGATGCTCTCACCTGCCTAACTTTGTGCCGATGCTAATCTTCCAAACCAACCCACTGTTAACTGAAATATTTACCCACGAACTGTACGTAAATGCGTCACGTACCATTTAGTTGTTACTTATAGTGAAGCGAGAGAAGTTTTCGCTGAAGTACATCCTGACCACCGAGCAGCCGGTCGACTTCCTGACAATGGCGCTGCACTATCCGGCCTTCAACCGGT